CTTTCTTTCCTTTGTTATTCTGTTTCCTATTTTGCCAGGAAGTATTTCCATAGTTGCTGAGAATCAAAGCACAAAAGAAATCCCTACCTATGTAAATGTTTGAATGGAGGACGCCAGTAAAAACTAAACAAACAAAATAAAATAAAAACAAAAAAAAATTTCAGCTTTCTGAAATTGACTGAATCCTAAGCAACGTGCAAGAATTAATGTTCTCTGGTGCTCCCCAGTCATTCAAAACTGGCTCTGAGCTGAAAAGGATATACCCAAATATTTCCTAAACTCGCCAGTCATCCTGGGGTTGAGATCCCTATTACATACACTGGTGGTCTAAGTGATAGTTGATGAGGGATCAAATAAACTGTAATTAAGTTGTTTGTGGTAGCTAAAATTTCTAGGACCTGCCCAAAAAAAAAAATATTTGCCATAGTTCTTCAGTGACATATTGTTTCTCATGGCTAAGTACAGAATACATTCACCGAGAGCTCAAAGAATCCTGATAATGATGCTTCTTATAGCGGTGCTAAGGGCTTAACTGGTTGATTATTTCAAGAACCCTAGTAACTTAGGTCATGGTCCCACATAAATCCCATCCACGAACCTGTGATTACCAGTTACAGCCTCCTGCTATAAAAGGAAGAACACAAGATATGGAATCAGAAGATGTAGCTTCAAATGCTGGACCTGACATTTATTCCCCATGTCCTCTAAGGCAAGCTATCATCTGTTCCTCAGTTCCTTCATTTAGAAAATCACGATAATACTGCTCTTATAAATAACAACAAATCTGGCAGTGGTTATGTGCCAGGAACTGTGTCAAAGGCTTTCCATGTGTTACCTGGCTTAATCCTCAAGTAGTCCACACCGAATTCACTGCCATTGAGTCAGTGCTGACTCAAAGTGACCCACTGTGGATGTCCACAGCTGTAACTGCTTATGGGAGTAAAAAGCCCAGTCTTTCTCCTTCGAAGCTGCTGGTGGTTTCGAATGGCCCACCATGTGGATCACAGCCCAACTCATACGCCACCAGTGCACCTTCTGAGGTAGGTACTGCTAGTTATTTTCATTTTACAAATAAAATAAGTTAGGAGTAGTTGCTTGAGCTCCACAATCAAGGGATGGTGAAGCCAGGACACACAGTCATACAGTACAAATTAGACATGTTCTAGAAAAACACAACTATTAACGTTAGCTACTATAGTATTAGTTACTATAGTAGTTCTTACTTATTAAGGAGTTCTGAACATGTATGTAAATATCTAACATGTATTAGATATTTAATGATGATGACTAGGCCAATAAAAAGTGGTTACAGGTTGGGCTGCTAACCACAAAGTCAATAGTTCGAATCTACAACTAATAGTTCGAATCTACTGCTCCTGGGAGATAACTGGGGCTTTCTAGTCCTGTAAACAGTTATAGTCTCTGAAGCTCACGGGGGCAGTTCTACTCTGTCCCATAGGGTCACTGTGAGAGAGAGAGAGAGTCTGCCTACTGCACAAGCAACCGTGATGTGTTTTCTGAATATTTGGTACTTTGATTCTTCCAAGAAGGAGAGGAAGTGGTGGTACTTTGTTACCATGCTTCCTAGAAATCCCAATTTTGGTCTAGGTGAGTTGCACATGGTGGCATGAGGAACATGTAGTTTGTAAATCCTAATGTGTAAGTGAAAATGTTTGATGTTCATAAGTACATGTAAATCTCTTACAACAAACCTCAGCACGTGTCTCAACACAGACAGTCAAGTTACAAGGGCAGACAATGAGCAAAATCATTACTCTTCTACTCTTGAGAGGAGCCAAAAAAGTCACGACAGAGCCTTGAAGTGGGGACTGGCCCTTTGAGGGAAGACTCCCCCATATGCTTACTTTCTCAAATCCCAATTCGTGGACGGAACGAGAAGCCTGTTGAAAAATTTCCATTTGCTCTTGTTCATCATGGATGTCCCAAAGAACGTCACCGAAATCATCTTCTTCTGGGATGGAATCGTCACTGCCCAAATCCTTGGACTCCAGGTCTGCATTCTCGAAGCCCAGTATGTCCTGACCACCAAGTGCAAGCAATGAAAGTTAATGAAAAACACAAAGACCTGAGCAGAGGTTAGCAATGTGCCTAACGTGACTTAACCACTGAAGAAGGCAAAGCCAAGCCCCGTGGCCTTTGTTTAATACCTAACAAGCACAATTTATAATTGCAAACCGCTAATAGAAAAATAATGAAAAGAGAGAGAGTAAATCCCGTGAAAGCAGGAACCTTTGTAAGATGGAAACCTGTCGGAGAAGGAAAACTCATATACTTCCCATTAACAAAGAGGGGTAGAAAAAGTGGTAAGACTGCAAGGTCATGAAAAACAAAGAAGTCCCACTGTGTTTTAGCGCTTCCAGGTTCTACTGTATTAAGAACAAGAAAAACAAAGATCGCTCTCTTTTATTATAAACAAAGCTACAGGGGCAGTTTGATTGGCATGGAATATGTTTTAGCGATATCTGGCTGGTGGAAATTTTATTGACTCTGCCTATGCTTAAGAAGCACGCTGCTGTACATTTTTATAAGAATTTAATGACCAAGATGAGGCTTCTTGATATCAAGTATCTCTCCTGTTATATCTAATCTTCTATCATACCTATGAACATATGCTGTCCTTCAAGCATTGGAAAATAGTGATTATGTTCCCTTCCACTGGCTGCCAGTCATTCTACTCAATTCACTTTATTTACCTTAAGCCCCAAATCCATAAGCGGGCCGAGAAGATCAAAATTGCTCCCGTAAATATTTACACTAGGGAAGGCCATGCACATGTGCGGCCAGAATGTGGATCAGTAGCTTGATACACAGTAGCTGCCCTCTTTTGCTCTGAAAACAAACCTCCATATTTACAATGTTAGTGAATTCAAAGAGATAATCTACTGCCTTACTTCTGAAAGAGGGTCCCTGACACCACAGGGAGGTCTCAGGAGTTACGGGCAACCACAGGCTAAACATGGTACATCATCCTATAGTGCTCCTGTTATCTGAAATGAGGGGTATTATTATCACTATTAAAGTTTTTTTATATTAAACATAAACATGGGCACAACATGGAACTGGATATATATGTATGTGATATATATATATATATATATATAACAAAATTTCAAGATAACACTTGAGATGTCATAGGGATTTCCAACTTGAGACACCTCTATGACCCACGTTCCAGACCCTAAGCAGTGAGCTTTGCACTAACAGTTGCACTCGTGGGTCGGCATCAAGTGGCCCTGCGGGGCAGAAGAGGAGTGATGATGGAGAGGACCAGGCTGGCCACAATAACCCCAAGGGGGAGGGCTCTCGGCAGAAGCAATGGTGTTTTTTCCTGGCATTGTTCTATTCTCTGGAAAATTCCGTTTTAAGGAAAATATTCTTAAGACTGGATGGAATTTTAGAGGAAAAGTATAGTTACCTGTTTAATTATCTTTTCCACATAAATATAAGTTTTATATACTCCTTCTGCAGGATCTCCTGAATGATCAATGATCTGAGGGGGAAAAAATGAAAGAAGCTTAACAATCAGATGTCCCATTACCACCAGCAACGGCAAGAAGAATAGGAAGAGGCTGGCGTGGCAAACGTGTATATTGAGTTCATAGATGCCAGGCACTATTCCAAAGTATTCCATGTGTCCTAGCTCATTTATTCTCACAGCCCTATGAAGGAGACACTATTATTATCCCCATTTACCAAGGAGGAAACTGAGGCAAGTTAAGTAACTTGTCCAGGCAATTTATCGTGCATTGATCACATGAAGTGTACACTTCATTTTTATAGAGCATGTGGTTTTTTGGCTTGTTTTTTTTTCCAGAGCCGTCTGCTGCCAGCATGTGGTTTTGTGTAAACAATGCTGCAATACAAAGCCCATTTGTGTGTGTGTGTGTGTGTGTGTGTGTGTGTGTGTGTGTAAATTTAGTCTTATGCATTTCCACCCGACTCAAATTCAACATTTATGCCAATTAAGCTATAATTTTACAAAAAGACAAACGCAAGATGGTACTTTTGTTACGTGAAGCAGTAGCCTCTGAGTCTACTAGGCGAATGTCCACTGTCTGTAAAGAGCATACATGTACTAATGAATGCTCAGCATTGGATAGGGTTAGAACGCATGTCAAGTGAATAAGCTCGGGACCTTGTCACTGCCATTAAGTCCATTCTAATTCATAGTGAGCCAAGTGGACAGGGTAGAACTGCCCTGCTGAGCTTCTGAGACTGTAAATCTTTGTAAGCTGAAAGCCTCATTTTTCTCCCAAGGCATAGCTGGTGGGCTTGAACTGCTGACATTACAGTTAGCAGCCCACTGTGTAATGCTACATTATCAAGGCTCCTTAACTTGCCCTATAATTACATCTAAAATCATGAGAGATCTACCTTTACTCATGCCTTTATAAAAAGAGTTCATCATTCTAGCATACTAATTTTTAAAAGCAGTATTTATAGAATAAAGGGTCCCATAGCTCATGGGGCCTAGTACACTAGGCTGATATAAAATAATTAAAGAATGAATTAACTGGAGATTATACTAAAAATGTACTTCTTTCAGTCTAAGGCTCTTCAATTTAATCTCTCATGCTGGCCTCAAGATATCTTTTCATACTATATGATGTAAAGGGAAATGCTTGAAAGCCACAGTTGATTTGATTTTCTACCTGGCAAGAGAAACTACAACTTTGACAAGATACGGGAGTTTTATTTAAATTTTACACTTAACATTGACTATAGCACATTTACCAAGCCACTTCAATGTACTGCATTGTAAAACCCATAATTTCTGTTCTAAAACCATTGCCTATGGGTCTAAAGCCAAAACCACAACTTACTGCCATGGACTCACAGCCACCCTGTAGATAAGGTTCCAGACTACAAATCTCTATGGGGGCAGAAAGCCGTGTCTTTCTCTTGCAGAGTGGCTGCCACATTTGAACCATCAACCTTGTGGCTAGCGGTTGATTGCTTACTGATAGCAACAGTGGGCTCCTTGCATTTAGGGATGATGAAATCTTTCTTACACAAGCCACCAGTTTTTCCCAATACTCCTAGGAAAGATGACTATACAAACACTCTTCATTATCCTTGTTTGGTAGACAGGCTTTGTTGGGAGAGCAGTGCAGAAAAGAATCTGCTTTGTCAATGTACAGATGCTACTCTTGTTAACCATACACTGTAATTTATTCCTCTCTCTTAGAATTGTTGTTCTGCAAAAGGAGTTTCTGTACTGTTGGGTCAGGTACTGGTCAGAGGACATTAGAAATAGCCTGCCTGCCCCTATCAGACCAAGGTGGATAATTCCAAAGGTCCGCACAAATCAATGAGCCATCTGCCTCTGCGCCACAGTGATCAGCACCATCAAAGCACCACCTTGCCTCGGAATTTTTATGGACAGAGACCCATTTAGAGCCCCCCCTTTCCCCTCTCCCAAGCTGAGAATCTTTTCCCCTTCCCCATGTGCCTACCTGCGGTTTCTACCCACTCCGTTTATTGCTTTACCCTCCCCACCGACCAGCTTAAAAGTATCTCCACCACAGATAAGTGTGACTTCTTAGGTCCTCCCAATGGGGCTGTGGAGTTCGCCGGGGAGTTCAGGGCTCCCATCTCCTCCTCTCCCGTTTCCTTCTCTTCTCTCCCACGGGCAGCACTGATTCTCTTGACTCCCTGCTGGGGTCCATGAATGCCTCCAGGAAAGTGCAGACTAAACTTCCCCTTTTCTTTCTCTCCGGCCTGACCTCGGTTTCTATATGCAGCGGACTGAATCATTTCCTGGTGAAGCACTGGGCTGCTAACCTAAAGGTCAAAGGCTTGAAGCTACTGGCTGTCCCGCATGAGAAGGGTGTGGCCGGCAGCTTCCACAAAGATTGACAAGCCTTGGAAACCCTCAAGGGCAGCTCTACCCTGTCCTCTGTGGCCCCTGTATGTTGGAATCGACTCCCCATCGATGGATTTTATTAGACTACATGTAAATTAAACTCCCATCTCACACCAAGGAAAAGTAAGGATTTTAACACGGTCTACAAGGTTCTTTGACATCTGACCATCTGTTCCTGTCTGACCTCCTCTTACTAAACTCACCACTCACTCTGTTCCAGCCACCCTGGTTTCCTTTCTCTTCCCAAACCTGCCAAGTTTTCTCCCACCTCACTCTCTTTGCTCCGGCTCCTTTCTCTGCCAGCCATGTTCTTCTGCCTGATATCCACACTACTGACTCCTCCTCCTCTAGGAATTTCCTCAACCTCACCTTCTCAGTGAGACCTTTCCTAACCACCCAGTTTCATTCAGCAACTGCTCCCGCCCCTGCCACCCAACCTCTCCTCTCTCAACTGTATTTTAAAATAATTTTTCCATAGGACCTATAATGCTTTAACATACTATATATCTTATACATTGTTTTATTTGTCTCTCTAACTTAGCACTAAAGCAGTGTCTGGGACATAGGAGATGCTCATTATTTTGCGTTCAATTTGAATGAATGAATGAGTTGATTCATATTTAGATTCACATGACATATAGATGCAAATATAAATTTATATAAAATAGCCATAATGAACTTCCTTGTTTCTATTAAAAGTTTCACTATTTTTGATATTTCATCAAGTTTCAGCTATAAGTTTAAAAACAAAACCAAAAAATGTTGACTTTACCTTGGCTTTGCTGGTCTTGTTTAGGTTAGAAACTTGATCAATCAATTGGTGGACAGAGTCAGAACTGACTTTTCCATCTTCCACACGATGATAAATTAATCGTGGTTTTCCTTCAGGGTTTTTCAGAAAGGCTTCTTCACAGTCTTCCGATAAAAGGCTAGATTGGAAACCAGCAGTTTGTGTGTGTGCTACACAACAGCATTGTCAATTAACCAAAGTGCCAATAATGGGGTTTACTAAATGACTTAATGGCCAGAAAAAGTCTATTAGCAGAACAAGCGGAGCTTTCCAAAAAACGATGATTTATAGCTTGGTCTTAAAATGCAATGCTTTTATTAGCAGACAATGAAAGTGGGAACAAAAAGTTGGACATTAAATTTAAGGCACACAACTTCGTTTTTTTTCTTTAAACCTGAAAATAAAATCTCAGAAGTACCGTTTAATGTGGCTCAAAATAATGGATCAGACTCTTGTAACTCTCCAAACAAATGGAAAACAGAATTCTAATCACAAACTGTGATTTCCAAATTAAAACACACAGTTCATCAGCTCCAAGGTTTCAAATGTTTTTCTTCACTGGAGCTTTAGTCTTTCCTCATCATTAAATGACAGGCATCTTTATAGCCAAGATTATTAGAGAGAAGCACTGCGGACACGTGGGAGAGGTTAGATAGGTAGGGAAACCATGCCTGGAAAAATTTTACCTGAAGCCACCTTCAGTTTGCTACCGCACAAACAGAACATACAAAACTGTACATTGTATCACTATCTAAACCCTAGAAAAATCTGAGTAATCTATTGGAGTTTTCTATACTGCAACAACAACTACCATCAATTTCCCTCTGGAATATGAAATGAAAGCTTGTCTAGAGAGGTGTGTGTGTGTGTGTGTGTGTGTAGGGGGGCGTTTCCCATGATTCAGAATTTGTATAATAAACTTAAGGACCAGCCCCCAATAGACAACTACTAGCCCACAGCATATTTCTATGCCATTCCAATCTATCCAAAAAAAAAAAAAAGAAGATCATTTTGACCCTCCTCTGTAGAATTTTGGTATTTTAATGGGTCACCTGATTGCTTTGTGAGAAAAGTCTGTGGCCCACCTGAATACACGAGTGGGCCTTGTGTCTAGGCACATGTTCCTATTTCAAAACCAGTCCCTACAAAATTAGCACATAGTACCAGATGAACGTGTTTGTGATTTAGTCTAGATAATTTAGTGGGAAGAAGATAGGGTACATATGAAAAAAATCTCATCATAAGTTGACAATTGGGAAAGCTAGATAATACATAACATCAACCGATATTTTAGCTATTTGCCCCTTTGGTGTTCAAAAAGTAGCCCTAACCTCTAACCAAATGCCCCACATAATTCCACACACACTGAAAATCAGAGTTGGCCTGCAACAAAAAATGAAAAAGTATCTTGAAAATGTTAAATCCAAGTAGACAATAGATCTGGCGGGGAAAGCTAGCCTCTTATTAGGTCTGTTTTGTCTTCTATCTATATACAGATAGTTCATTAATGAGATTATATGCACATTCTAAGAAAACTTTTCACTTTACTGAGCTTATTTATGCAGCAAGCTCTTTAAAGCATTTAAAATATGACTCTAGTGTCCAAGTGCATATGTACCATATAAAGTTCAAGTACTTCTCAATTTTTATGCAAGAAAGAAAGCAGTGAAGGTTGGTGATGGCCATGGGAATACGGGTCACCACTCCGCTTTGTAAAGGGGCAGATGGCAAACACTTCAAGCATTGCAGACCACACAATTCTTATCACAATTACGCAGTTCTCTTGCTCTAATGTAAAAGCACTTGTAGAAAACACACAAGTGATGAAGGTGGCTGGTTTCTAATGAATCTGTATTTTCAAAAACCGGATCTGGATGGATTTTGTTGGCCATAGTTTGACAGCACCTGGAACTTTCAATCCATGTTACTGAAGTGGGAAACAGTTATAGAATTTATTGAATTTCAAGGGTTGTTTCCAATGATAAGAAAGCAATTAGAATTTATCTTTTGAAATTCATTTTGCAATCTCTGTTCTAGCGAAAACCTTAACTCCTGCAATATATGACACACAGATTCCCCCCTCCCCCCCAGCTTACCTTGGTAAAGTTAAATGAATGAATAAAATAACCAATGAACTCTTTTCAATTTCCCATTTTCTTACAGTGACGTATTGATTGTCAATGTCTATTGGAAAATACACAGCATGGAAAAAATATCCCATTGTTTCACACATTATTTTAAGTTTAGGTGAATAATCCTAAAGACAAAGAACACATACAAGCATTAACTTATTTAATGAAAAATCTAAAGACTGTCACACTAAAACATGCTTTAGAACATGAGATAAATTTTCTAGTGTGAATTTAAATATAATCACATTTGTTAAAAATCTTGAAGGAAAAACTTTTCTATAAATCAAACATAACAAGAGTTTAACAACTTTGTTGTTTTCTAACTCAGAAAAATAATTTCATTCTATAACCTAAAATAAGAAAAGGAAGTATTAGACTACTTGCCCTAATATTTGTTTCTTTTTATTATGAATTTAAGAGAGATTTGTTCTATTACTTACTAAAGTAAAAAATATATACATTGATATTTAACATAGCATTCACCATGATATATTAGGATACTAAAGTACCCAGAATAAATAAAAGATATGTTGACTTACATTATGTCACTAAATAATGACAACTATCACGCAAAAAGTTAATAATTTCTAAAAAAATTCCTTCTTTAAGAGTCTGTATTCAATGAATGGGTAAAAGCTTTGAGCTTTAAAGTATTTATTTTTTGACCAAAATTAACTAATAACACAAAGTAAGTGAATTTGAGCCAACAATTGAATATGTTAATATAGCATGTATAACATGTGACAGATTGGTTTATTTCAAATTCCTAAGTAGTTTAACAAAATAATAGCTTAACAACCTGGTCACGTTGGCCTGGGTCATAGTAGTCTGTGTGGGCTGTACCACAACTTTCTAAATCTGTGTGTGAAGCAGGGAGAGACCACACATAACAAGGGAGTGTGGCTTAGAGACAAAACATACCGATACTAAATTTTTGAATTTCATCTATTTTTCATTGCCATGAAATATTCTTTTAATTTTTGTGTCCCAATCATTCAAAAATATAAAAACTAGTCTTAGCTCGGCATAGAGAATAGATGGTTGGATAGAAAGTGCTCCTTTCCCTTAGAATAATATAAAGACTACAATATTAAGGGCCCTACTGAGGAATAAATATTATTATAATTGGAAACAAATTCAAGGAAAGAGATGGTGGATATGAAAGTGGGCATTTTCAAGGGTGTGACTTTTGGATGGAATGTACAATGCAGTATTCGAAGATCAGAAACGTCCAATACCTTCATTTAACCGCCAGTTAGAGCCTTCTTTTTCCTGTCTTAGAGCCCAACTTCTTATTCCCACGGAGTTAAACCAAAACAAGAACTACTACTTCAATTCACAGCATCTTTTATCTGTATATATATATATATATATATATATATACTTGCATCTTTCTCTCTCTCTCTACACACACACACACACACACACACACACACACACACACCCCAAAACATCTGGAAGCTTTTTTAAAGCTATGTATTTAAATTTTTTTACAAAACAACCTTATCACCTTCAAAGTACTCTCCATTACATTCAGTACATTTGTCAAATCTCTCCATTACATTCAGTACATTTGTCAAATCTGCGATTCCATTCTTGGAAACATTTTTCAAACTCATCTGTTTGGGTGGCTGACAGCACCTCCCCCTTTTGTTCCTTCACCTCTTGTATGTCATCAAATTGCTGTCCTTTCATGTCCCTCTTCATTTGCAGAAACAAAAGAAGTTGCGTGGAGTGAGGTCAGGTGTGTCAGGTGGGTGGGGCAAGAGAGGCATGCTGTTTTTTGGCCAAAAACTAGCACACAGAGATGGCCTTGTGAGCAGGTGCATTGTTGTGGTGGCAAAAGTCCCCTGCCTGCCAAAATAAGGCCTTTCGTCACACACTGTGACATTGTCTTTCCAGAGCCTCTGAAGAGAAAGCTTCCTTAACCGTCTGACCCGGGGGAACGAACTGGGAATGCACTACGAGCTGACATTTTCATCTGTTCAGGAAGTTGACGGATGTCTAGAATGAGGTTTGTCATCAATCAACATTTCACCTTTTTTGAAATGAGAAAACCATTTATACACTTGAATTTTTCCCATAGCACTGTCCTTATAAACTGTGCTCAACATCACAACAGTTTCTGCTGCATTTTTCCCGAGCAGAAAACAAAATTTCATAGTCATATGCTATTTTCTTAAATTGGCCATCACAAAAAAACGAGATTCAAGTGAAACTGCTTTCACAAAAAAATTCACCGTGACCAGAGAGAACCTTCCCAGGCAATGCCACTGGGTGCACTAACTCAGAGTGAGTTGCTCGATGCTTGCCTAGTGGGAGAAATGTCTGCTATGGAAGCTCCACTGAGCGGAGCTTTTTTCAATTTGGGGGGGAGGGGGTACCCCCTTGTACATATACACTAATAATACAAAACCATTTTCTCCTAAGAAAAGTCCAAGATTCTGCCTGTGCTTTAAGGATTTAAATCTAATAGGTATTAAACTATCTGGTTTGATGTAGTATATCATAAATATTAGGGCAGATGCAAAGATTCATTTGTGATCTACATCAGTGCATACAGAATTGATAAACAGCCTCACCTTAACAAAAAGTTCCATTTCAGGCTGGGTTTCTTCCGTATAAATGAGGTAACACCTGACAGTGTTACTCCAGAGAGAATGTGAAAACAAGGGTGTAACTTGTAATAGACTAGCTACAGCAACATCCCAGTCATCTGGAAATAAAATTATTAATAAATTCATGAAAAAAAATCACAGAAAACACTAGACAGGTCGATTCAAAAGAAGCCTGAAAAAACCACGATAGGCATGGCAGAGTGAAGTCCAAGCTTACATGTTACTACTGCTAGAGCGTCTAGAATTACAGACAAGTCCGTTATTCCTACCCTCAAAGTCTATCATGAGACTTAAAGCCATGGATGTCACCAGTGGCTTCCCTGGGATCCCAGCGGCTCCAGTCAAATGTCACTGAATTAGTTTATAAGAGACTTTCAATCCGTTTGCTGTTTGAGGGGAGCCCATACTTCAAGGCTGGCCGATAGTTTTGTCCTAATTATTATCCCAACAATACATTGCATCAAAACAGAAAAGTTTAACGATGACAAAGTGCAAGTATAATATTTATGAGAATAAGTATTTTAAGACCTACTTGACTAATTCAAAAGTGACAATTAAAAAACAATTTCCATTTTGTAAAGAAAATTTTAGTTTTAAGGAAAAAAAGGAGTGGAGCTACTAGAAACTTATTAGGTAGACACAGATACTGAATTTGTGACTAGCTCTTAGCATTAGGGACACCAAATGACATAAAGGCATTAAAAATACTCTTTTGTGTAAGAGTATCATCCTACTTAGCATGGATTTTAATATTCTGCTCCTTAACTTGCTTTAATCTCCCCCACCAAGAAACAGAGGGAAGGAGTAAAACCTATTGTTTCTCAGTTCACCTATGCTCTCCTTTTGCTGCTCCACTAAAACATCTGAGCAGCTGAGCAACAAGGCCCTGGGTGATCAGGTGTGCTAAGGGCAGACAGGCACCCAGAACACTAAACTCATGTCCTGTTGATGGTACTCTTCTCTTTTACCAGATTACAGTACATGAGCTGTCACACTGGTTACCAAGGTAACTGGAAGAGAGCATGTCTTACCTCTGTTGACGTTTGCAAAGGGTCCTTCGACATCTATAGAACTGTGGGCGAACTCAGGGCCTCGGACGGACTGCTGAAGTTGCATCATACTCCCTATGGAAGGCTCACTGCCCAAGGCTCCACTGGTCCAATATTCACACTGGGTTCCAGCAGCTACGAGCAGATAATCTTATCTTTTGAAAACCAGTTATGTTCAAAAGCTTACCACATCATCAGAGATATATATATATCTCTGATATATATATATATATATATATATATATATATACACACACACACATACACACACATCTATAATTAGCACAATGAAATTCAAACTGCTGGCTAATATAATTCTGGCTATCATCTCAAATTCAAAGAGAAGAGCAGAAAGAGAAATTTGGAAAATAAAAAAGAGTACAATAAACAAAAGAATTACAATGGGAGGAAAATAACAAATACCCTCCTCTAAATTACAAAATCCATTTCTAACTGTCCAGTCCAGATCTGGATATAAAATGTCAAGGAGTGAGCCATAACAGGTAGACTGTTACTAGCATGCTAGTAACTTTTGTAATTCATTAGACTATACATTTTCTGTGACAGGGAATACACCTTGTCAATCTCCCAGAACAACAAATGTAGCGATTATATTTATAAAGAACAATTCATAGCACCCTGGATGACCACCTGGATTAAATTTCTGGCAAACTTGAGATTACTCTCAATGGCTCACTGAATCTTAAAAGAGTGACATTCCCTCAGACGTTGTTTCTTTATGTTTAAATCAAAATACGAGGAAGACTTGGGAGAGAGAGGCCTAGGAGAGCCTAGAGCAGTGGTTCTCAACCTTCCTAATGCCACGACCCTTTAACGACCCCCAACCATAAAATTATTTTTGTTGCTGTTTCTTAACTGTCATTTTGCTACTGTTAGGAATTGGGCGACCACTGTGGAAGGGTTGTTTGACACGCAACGCAAAGGGGTTGCCACTCACAGGTTGAGAACCGCTGACCTAGAGAATTATATCACCATAGCTTTGAGACACTAGACATTTGACAGGTCAGCACTGAAGCAACCACTCAGACCAAGGTGGAGCATAAAAACCGTTTCCTCAGTCACTCTTGCCCAGAAAGAATCATGTCTCTTTTTTCCCCTCAAAAGTGAGTAATAAACTGTCCCAGGATGCTGGCCAGATGCTAATGGTAGTAGCAAGTGAAACGGGGAATGTTGGTTGCCACATTTCACTCCAAAATGTAGTCAGTTTGTAAAAACACAATGATGGTGCTTGATACACAGAGGAGTGCCTAAATTTTCACTACATTTGAAAAGCAGTTTCTTTTCCCCAGTATCCACCATCCTTAAAAAAAAAATTCTTGGCTCATGGCAAGCCCTGTCATTCTATCATTTCAGGTTTTTCTTTCCTTATAAAAGCATATTTTACAAGTTTAATTATTAAGTAAAATATTTTAACTTATAGAGACAAGTCGAATAAGGGTTCCTTTGGGGGTCCAGTGGGGAAGGGTGGGGGGTAAAGGGGAGAGGATATTAAGGAATTTACGAAGAAAGAGAATGTTTTGAAACTGATTATGGTAGCAATTGTACAATACTGCTTGATGTGATTGAATTATGGAATGACAGGATATCTGTTTTACCTCCCAATAAAAAGATTTTGGGAAAAAAATATGATAAAGTATTTTAGTGGTTCACAAAACTGCCCTAAGAACAACTCAATAACATGTTAGGCAGAGGTTCTGAATGATTGTTACAAAGAATATGTCACCATGTGTAAGAATCACATGGCAGAGTCTATCAACTGTCCTCCCGTCTTCATTCTTTCCTCCTCCTTCAGTAACAGGAGCCTAAATTTCAGTTGGACAAATGGCTGTCTGGCTAACGATGATACCTTCCAGTTCTGATCTAGGAACCATTCTGGTCAGGGAGACACTCAGTGGGAGAAAGATGAGCCGGCCTGCTTCCATAGTGATGAAAACTCCATGAGGCAGTTCTGCCCTGCCCTCTAAGGGCCTGTGTGAATCAGAATCTATTCAACAGCAATGTGCCAATGAAGTTTGGGCAGAAGGGATCGATGTACCTTCAAGGAGAGAAGTGAGTTCCCCACCTTTCCTCGTCCCCTTGACCAAAGTGCAGATGTGATGACCGGAGACGGACAGCTATCTTAGACCAGAAACAGAGAAGCTTTGGCTATGGATTAAAGTTGGCCGAAGGAACCTCAGCCCCGGGCAGTTTCACGTGCTTCACGGAGCAGAGGTACCGTAACAGCTGAACGAGAGCAAGTGAGAAAGAAGGGAATCTCCATTTTGCTAAGATAGATAAGTAAAAGGAATAGAAAAGGGCTTAAAGTTGGCTCTGCAACACCACTGCAGGCTTTGAAAGCTAAAAATATCATAAATGGGAAATAAGTTTACCAGTAACAGCTGTATAGTTGTCATCGGAGTCCGACTCTCCTGGGTCAAATACTTGGACCCCCTGAGCCTGTAGCCTCTGAAGTTTGCTCTCCAACTCTCGCTTGGCTCTCAGTAAGTCCTGAATCTCATTTTCCTTTGTTTCCCGAAAAATCTTTAAAGAGAAGCATTTTCAGCTTTACATGTTTTCTTTTATTTCTTTTTTTTTTTATGGTCAATAGGTTGTGCCATTAATCTTCCAGGAAAAAGCCCTTCATGCTTGAAACCAATACTATGTTCGTTTGTTCTTTGATCTCCTCCGCTGTAGGATGAGTAATCCCACTTGCTTGCACTCTCCATTTCATAACTGGAACCCACTGCAGTCCTGGCAGGATCTGTGTCTGCGGCGTGCGACTGTCTTGGGTGCACTGCGGTGTTTAGTAATTTGTCTCTGGCCACTAAATGCCAGGAACCATTCAAAACATCTGCATACATTTCCAAATGTCTCCTCTGCACACAGAAACAGTTACTTTTTTTTCCTTTCCCCAAATCCCCATTTAAATGTTTCCCTTTATACCTGATCTTTGAAACTATATCAAATTTACCATATCAAATTACAAAACAAAAAACACTCTAGTTTCTTTAATTTTATAAACTTTAATAATCCTACATGATTTACTTCTGTTTATTTTTCAAAGAGGGACACTGCAGTGGTTAGTAGTTCAAACCCATTCAGCAGTACCACAGAGGAAAAGGTCAGCCCTACGGATTGTAGCTTCGAAAACACTGTGGAATAGTTCTACCTCATCACACCTGAGGTTACCAGGTGTGGCATCAATGCAGCAACAGGTTAACAGGTTTATTTTTTGCAGTCCTGCCTGTCACACTTTTAAAAATACCTGTTTGGGGGAGGGGGCATGAAAAGTAAGGAACTTACCTTGAATTGCCTTTTCACTTTATCTCGATCACCTTCAAATGTAGCTGCTCTCTCCATGGCTTGGTATTTTGCTTCTAACGCACTTTCTTTTTCCCGAAGTATCTTCTGGTAAGTTTTCTGAAGTGCCTGGAATACCAATATATATATATATATATATATATATATATATTCCTCCCAAAATTTCCACTGCCTTGCACATATATTACATGTCTTAGAATTTCCACCAATCTGCTTGCCATTTTGTCAACTTTCAAGAACTGCACATTGCCATTTTGTTCAAACACAGAATGATAAAACTGTAATGCATGTAGCAAAATGAAGACCCTTCAATAGGAAGCTTTCAAAGGAAATTATACCGATCTCAACATCAGCTCTTATACTTCTTACACCTCCATTTTTTCTGTCTTTAAGAAAACAAAAATTACAGTTTGCACGATGGAATCTGAGATGGCACTCATTCAATAGGAATGTGTGTTTCCTGGTATCATGGTTTACTCATCTTGCAATCCCAGGGCCCCCCTCTGCAGCCCTCCAGTGAATATGGGATGAATCGATTTAAGACACACATGTATGAGGGGCAGTGTTCTGTTTTTCATGCCTGTATGTGTGAGAAGGAAATCAACCAAGTTACCTACAGAATTCGGATTAGACACAGTTACAATCAAGGTCTTGACTTTTGTCAACTTGAACTGCCCTTCTTTTCTACCTGCCATCTCAAAGGCACCTCAATGTGCAGGAAGCACTGAGGTGGCCAAGTCCCCTCTCTATGGCTGTGAACTGGACACATGAAATCAGATAGCTGAAGAGCACAAACCCATTCCGTACAGGTAAGTGTTTCAAGCCTGCCCAAGAAAAAAACGTAGTAAGACAACAGATACCTGCTGACATGTATGTCCTCCTAGAGAACGTGGCTGGTTACTACGCTAATCAAGAAAAATAAAACAAAGAAAGTCTGATGAAAAAACATCAAGAGAAGGAGTAGGAAGGATTTGCTTTTAAAAACATCAGCAAAGGCATTTACCCAGCTCCTGGATTTATTCAAGTCCAGACGTACTAGTAGTGCTGCTGCTGCAAGCAGAGAAGAAAACGGTGCCCCATAACCTCAGACAGGTTGTGCTCAGTTCAGGGTCGGAGACCTTGACTGACAGGAGAGTAACCTTCACTGTATACTATTCCCCCGGACAGCATTTATAGGCTTGTTATTTTCTTTTGTTCAGTTTGTTTGTTTGAGTAGTCAAATGGACTAAAGGGAAGTTGACTGCATCTTTGAAAGATTTTCCACCAGACGGTGAAATCCAGGGGTTTTCAAAGCTTCCAGCAAGTCGTGTGAAGATCAATGTGAGTCCTAGTTGAAGGGATGCAAAATGTTTTTTTGCATAAAACACCTAGGCAGAGTTTATAGAGCGGCTTAAACTGATGTCCCCAAAGTTTTGTGTACATGCGTGCCTCACGTGAACCTGTTTGGGGGGCCCATGGAGATTGACATTCGCTGCTGCTTCCAGGTGCCCGAATGAATGAACCAGAAACAGAAGTGCCTAGTGTGTGTGCATGGAGGGAGGTTTCAGGGGATCCCTTTAGAACCTCCAAAGAACAAGGCCCTCAAACTGCAAGACGGTGCGGTTTCCACCCCAATTTCAAAACGACTAGGTTTGGGGAGGAGGGCTGGCTGCAGGGCGGAGCCCCTTGTGGCTGCGCGGCCGGGCGCGGGCCTGCTCGGGCCTCAGTTTCCCCGGCGCTGCGGCGGCCCCCGGCCCCGCGTTACCTGCAGCTCGGCCCGCAGCCGCTTGTTCTCGGTGTCCAGTTTGGCCTCGCGGCGGCCCATGGACAGCAGCTCCTGGTTCTTGCTGACCCGGAAGATCTCGTACTCCTTCTTCAGCCGCTCGTACTCGGCCGCCGCGTACTCCAGCTCGGGCACCGACGAGCCCGTGGACTTGAAGCTGG